CCCTAGCAACCGGCCACCAGAATTATAAAGAGTTAAGTAGGCAGATAGATCAAGATTTAAGCTCTCTCGAAAAATCTGTTAGCCAACTGGAGGACTCCCTTGGTTCACTCGCAGAGGTAGTATTACAAAACAGACGAGGCCTAGATCTGCTTTTCCTGAAGCAGGGAGGCCTCTGTCTGGCTTTAGGGGAGTCTTGCTGTTTCTACACCAACCACTCGGGGGTGATCAGGGAAAGCCTTAGCCAGCTGCGAAAACGGCTGGCTGACCGAGAAGAGGCTAGAAGGGCTGAAGGCAATTGGTATGAGAATTTATTTTCCTGGTCCCCCTGGCTAACTACCCTGCTCTCCTCCTTGGCAGGACCAGTCGTTCTGCTCCTCCTAGGGCTCATATTTGGCCCCTGCATTGCCAGATGCCTCCTCAATTTCATACAAAATCAAATACAGGCTGTAAAGTTAATGGTTTTATACACCCAATACTCCAGGATCTCAGAGGAGGACGCTGAATCAAAGATTTGATTCCCAATAAGACCAGTAGGGAATGTACTGGGCTACATATCGGGGCACACTGTGCTGTCTGTTCCTGGAACAGACAGATAGGAAGGTACTGACATCAGGTCAGGCCTTGAGATATGGTCTCATGGTCCCTCCTCAATGTATACTGTGCTCTCTGTTCCCGGAAAACATAGATAGGAAGGTGATAATGCTGTGCTGTGTCGGGAACAAATTGCGTAAGCATGGCTTTGTAACTTTGTAGTTTTTGCAAATAAATTGCCATAACTCTTGCAGTCAGGTGCTGCAGTTCGAAGCAAAGGCCGAACTGCAGACAGCTGGCCAGCTTAATAAAGGTTCCTAAATTTAAATTCTGAGTCGGTGGTCTATCTCGCTGAGTCAACCCATAACACCATCCATGAGAATGAAATAAAACCATGTTACCTTTTTAGAATTCTTAAAGTGCCTATGTCCTGAGAATGTACCTCCTTTTCTCGATCTCCATGAAGCAGAAGGAACAGGGCCCAACCACTGCTCTCTGAAATTCACCATGGATTGTGCTGAAGACTCAGCTGTGAACAACTTGCAAACCACAGCTGAGCTCAGGGTGACACTAGGGCAGGCCATCGCTGGGAGACACAGGTGTCATCTGTCGGAAACATAGGGCTGAGGAAATCTCCAGTGGATTTGATGGGCCTCCCTGAAACATAAGCAGGTTAACCAAGTTCCACATTTTGTGGAGAGACTGTGATTGTGTGCTGACAGTTTCCCCAGCTCACCAACCCCTCTGCATTTTTCTTCCTCCATAAGGGATACATGAGTGTTAGCATGTGAGAATGTTTCTATTAGTAGAGTAAATATTTTAAAACACAAAGCCATCAGTGGTATTCACTGCACCATGGCTCTAGAGAGACTCTTGGCGAAAGTGTTATATGGAGAGGAAGGCAAGGACCTTCAGAGAAATCAGCCATGAACACCACCTGCAACTGCTCTTGGGGCTGCAACTCAGAATGGGTGGATCTTGAGCGCCTCCTGATGGCCTGAGCGCCCACTGCAGCCCAGCCCTCAAGTCTTCCTCAGGAAGGTTTGTGCCTGGGCTCACACTGACTTCCCCTCACTGTGTGTCTCTGGCACAGTAATACAGGACTGTGTCCTCGACTTTCAGGCTGTTCATTTGCAGATACATCGTGTTCTTGGCATTGTCTCTGAAGCTGGTGAATTGGCCCTTCACAGAGTTGGCATAGTATGTGGTACCACCATCAGGATTAATTACAGCAACCCACTCCAGCCCCTTCCCTGGAGCCTGACAGACCAACTGCATCCAGTAACTACTGAAGGTGAATCCAGAGGCTGCACAGGAGACTCTAAGAGACCCCCCAGGCTTCACCAAGCCTCCCCCAGACTCCATCAGCTGCACCTCACACTGAACATCTGCAAACACAAAGACATCCTGGTCAGGAAACTCTCACACATCCACTGTTGCTCTCACTCATTTCCACTCACATACACAATGTCTCCTGTTATCCATAAATTACCTCTTAAAAGAGACACTAGGAAAACCCAGCTGAGCCCAAACCCCATGGTGAGTGGTCTGTGTTCAGCCCTGATCAGGGAATGGGAACCTGGGGAACCCGGTGTTGGACTCCTGTCCCAGAGCTGCAGGGTCAGGGCTGGGCTGGTTTTTATAAGCATAGGGGCCCTATTTGCATGTCCTCCTACTATGTAGGAAGATCTGGGGTTGGATGCTGATATAAATGACACCGTCCCGCAGTGTAACATGTCCAAGGATGTATGTCTGTTAAAACAATTCCCCACAGCTGAGCCTGTGGCCGCTCTAAGGGATCTGTACAAAGATTCCAGAGATATAATTGTCATAAAATGAAAAATAGAAGAATTAAAAGTCAGAGATGCCTTTTACAGATACCAATCTTGACAACCAAGAAAAATCAACCCTCACAAACCGAGAAAGAAGTAAAAGTGCAGGAAGTTCATGTTCAGGAGACAGGAAGTTCCATCTGACACTTTTTCCCCTACAAAGTGATCAGAGGAGAAACAAAGACGAGAGTGTGAGCCTAGAGTCAGTGGACCAAGTGTGTGGGGGGGAGAGGGGGGAGGAGAGGAGCATCTGTGTGTGTCCCTGGGAACTAGAAGCAAGAACTATAGAGACACAGACAGAGCTCCCAGGTCCTATTCCTTCAGAGGAGTTTAGTTCTGAACGTGTAGCAGCTGCATGGCCTCCTTTGTGATGTTTATTCTCTAGACTCTGTTGTAGACCCAGTTCCATACATTGGGATATAGAAGAATCTTCATTATGACCAGCTGTGTTTACGAGAAGATGTAGGTAATAATTTGGGAATAACTAAGTTTGGGTCAGGAAAATGTTGTCATTGGAAATGTGACGGTTGCATATGACTCTTGGTACTGCTTACACCATGTACTGGCTCAGCTTCAGGTCTCCTGTCTGTGTCCTGTCCTGGAGTGTCCACAGATGGATTGACCTGTGAGAGGGGTGCTGGTGGATGAAGAGGGGCAGGTGGGTTTTTACAAGGTCCGCTCTGCCCTTGATGCTGTGGGAGGAGCTGGGAGAGCCAGCAGGGCTCTGGCCATGGAGCTCGGGCTCTGGGACAGATCTAGGGAGGGTGTGGACAGTAGAAGGCAGAGGGGGCAGTTGTCCTGGGACACTGGAGGGACAGCTGGGGATGGGTGTAGACCAGGACTCTGTCCAGCTGGTTCTCATGACCCATGTGGGTTCTCCATGTGGAAGCTGAGACACATGTCAGAGCAGAGCCCAGATGGCTCTCAGGGACCCACAGAGAGGGCTGCCTAGCAGGCGGCAGAGGGTTTCATCTCTGTACCAGTCTCCCTCTCTCCTCCACGTAGAATTCTGAGAGCTGAGTTGGGCTGGTTCTGGTCCAGGAGACTGAGGGGTGTAGAGAGTGAGGGGAAACCCTGGCCATCACCCTCATCCTGAGTGCCCCCTGAGCCAGAAGGTGCACTGCCCCAGGAAGATGAGACTGCCTGGGCAGCTGTTGGGGAAGTTTCTGGGGCAGGTCTGTGCCTGTCTGAGGGAGGGAGCCCCTTGGGCAGATCTGTGCCTGTCTGAGAGAGGGGGCCCTGGGGCAGATGGGGGCTTGTCTAGAGCAGACAGAGTGAGCTCAGACACAGGGTATGACTTCGCTGATATTTCTCTTTGTGGAAACTGTATCCCTCTCCCAGGGATGGAGAGGTGCCCTGTGTGCTCAGTATATCTGAGAGAAGGGAAGCTACTGAGAGAATCGTCTCTGAGACTGGAAAGAGCTCATCTAGGAAAAGAGAATGGTGTTCGCACCATCGTTGTCCTCAGGGAGAATGTGGGCACTTAGAGCACAGATGACAATGGGACCTTGTCTCTGGGCCACTGAACAGCGAGGAGAGAAGAAAAACCTGACCACAAGGGGCAGATGGTCCTCAGCACCTCATAGTGCCTATTCCCAGCTGTATACCCTGACTCAGGGCCTGAGCGCCCCCTGCTGGTCCTGAGAGCTCTGTGGTGTCCAGAGCTCCCCCTGGTGCCCTCCCCCTCCTGGTGCACCCAGGCTTCTCCTGAAGCTCAGCCCCTCCCTCTCCCTGCAGGGAGGTCTGTGTCTGGCTCAAGGAGACATGAAGGTCAGGCTGATGGCACCTGTCAGGTGTTTCTCTCAGGCATATTCATTCACATACTCAGTGTCTCTCATTCTCCATAAATTGCCTTTTAAAATAGCAGCAAAGAAAACCCAGCTGATCCAAAACCCATGGTGAGTGGTCTGTGTTCACTCCCAATCAGGGGATGGGAACACCTGGGGTCCCGGGGCTGGGTTGTAATTCACGAGCAGAGGTGGGGTGGCTATTGGCATGTCCTCCTACTATATAGGGAGCTCTGGGGTTGAACACTGACATAAAGGATGTCGTTGTAGAGTGTGGTGTGTCCAAGGGCACTCATGGCTGATGAGCATTAGCCCTGGTACCTGGTCTTTGCTCCTCTCACTTGGACCAAACTGCTTCCCTGAATCATCTGCTGACCTGTGCGCATTCCCTGTGAGGGCTCAGTACTGCCTGGATGGATAATGTGGTGTAGTAATACGGCATGATAATTAATGTAATAGAAAAATAAGAGCAAGGGTAGAGATTTAAACATGATACATTGGAAGTTTACCTGTATTAATATAGTGAGGTGATCAACTATCACAATGAAAGGGAGATTAAAGTGTGTGAGTGTCGTGTTCAGGAAACAGAAGTTCCACCCTATCCCTTATTTGCTCATAAAGTGATCAGAGGATAAACTAAGAACAGACCTTGAACCTATAGCCAGTGGACCAAATGTTGGGGAGATTGGAACCTCTGTGTGGATCATTGGGAAACAGAAGCATGAACGATAGAGAGAAACAGTAAAGCCAGTTTCAAACATTAGGATACAGATTAAACTCAATCAAAACTAAGATTTTTTATGACAATGTGGATAAAATGTAAGAATAATTAAGTTTATGTTATGAAAATCTTGTTATTGGAAACCTGACATCTGCATGTGACCCTTGGGACCACTGTCACCGTGTCCCCACATGATGGGGGGGAGGATCAACTGGAACCTGCAGCTGACTCAGTGCCACAATGGGGCGGGGGGGAAGGTACCTGGGAACATGATGGGTCATTAACCAAGACTGAGGACTCACATGTCCAGGGTTCTTGTTTCATTACATTGTCATCTCCTTGTGGTTAAGCCCATTCAAGTTTTCTTTCCTCACTTTCCTCTGAAACAGCCCAACATATTTCCTAGAGCCATAAAGACACTTTGTTGAGAGAGTGCAGGGGCACAAGCCATTTTTGTGTTGGTTCTGTACCTTACATCTTTCTGGAGTTACCTTTCTAGTTCTATCAATTTTCTTGTGAAGTGTTCAGGGTTTTCTATAGCTAAGATCATGTCATATTCATAGAGATAAAGAGAGACAATTTAGCGGCTCCTTTCTGACTTACAGATATTTTTTACTTTGTTCTTGCCACATTACTCTGACAAGGACTTCCAGTTTTGTTCAATAGAAGTAGTCACTGGGGTGCCTTGGTCTTGGTCCTGATGTTAGAAGAATTGTGTTGAAATTGTTTCTATGTAGCATAATGTTACCCGTTTTCTTTTGAAATGCAGCATGTATTATGTTAAGGAACACCACTTATATACCAGATTTATTGAAAATTTTTATCATAATGGGGTTTTGACAGTTTCAATGGCCTTTTTTATATCTTTTTTGTATGACAATATAGTTTTCTCTTTTATTCTCTGGATGGGTGTATCCAGTTTACTGATTTATAAAGGTTGAACCATCCTTGAATTCTAGGACAACATCCCACTTGATGATGGTAAATGATACTTTCAAGATGTTAAGTTTTATCTTATACTAGAGGCATGGTGCACGGCATTCCTGCACTGGGGGTGGGGGGCCTCAGCCCCGCCTACATCCACTTGCAGTCTGGGACCCCTTGGGGAATGTCCAACTGCTGGCTCAGGCTCCTGCCGCCACCGCCAGCCTTGAGCTTGGCTTCTGGCTGAGTGAAGCTCCCCCTATGGGAGCACACCGACTACAGGGAATCAGCATCTACACTGAGCGTCTGCCCCCTGGTGGTCAGTGTGTGTCATAGTGACCAGTTGTTCCACTGTTCAGTCGATTTACATATTAGGATATTATTATATCGGATTGTTGGGGATTTTAGCATTTATGTTCATCAGGGATATGACCTGTAATTTTTGTTTGTTTACTTATTTTGCTTTGGAAGCAGTTGGGTCCAGTGACCCAGTTACTAGGGCTAATGCTCATCAGCCATTCCTCAAACCTCAATAAATGAGTTTGGAGGTTTATCCTCTTTTTCAATTCTTGGAAGTGTTTCAGAAGAACTGATTGAAAAGATACTGTTTTTTTCTTTGAATTTGGATAGAATTCACCCTTGAATCCATGTGACATTAACTTTTCTTTGCTGAGAGGCTTTGGCTATTACTTCAATTATTATTATTATTATTTTTAATTTATACCCACCTGCAAAGTCAGGGGAAAATTTCTAGTTGAAGCAACAAATGAGAGGACTGATAAACACAACTGTTGAACTTCACAGGGAGGAGGCAGCACTTGCACATACGGTGAGCTGAGCAGTGACAGCCTAACCGGCATCCTAGTTCTGCCTCTCACAGGTAGATCTGAGCAACATGAACTGACAGGGGAGCACCTTGAAGTCCCCACCCAGGGAAAGAACTGCCTCTATAAACTGCAGTCCCGGCTGCTCTCTGCTGGCTCTGTGGTGGGCAGGACTAGCTCCTGCCTGAGAGTCAGCAGTCAAACACATGTCTGCTTTCAAATTTGAAGAAGAAAGGGATTTTTTTTGTAGAATCTTACAATGTTAATCCACTGAAGATT